AAGACGTGACGGCAATCATCTCTATATCTCAGCTTTGAAATGATCCTCAAAGCACTGTGCTGTAGACCAAATATGTGGGAGCTAGCTGTGCTTCCCCCCCAAGCAATTATACAATAACTTATAATTGAGTGAATCAATACGAAATAGGCGGTTCTTGCTACCTCAGCAAATACCGAAACAACCAATCTGCGCAATAAGAAAATGTTTTAGGCTATCTTTTTCCCTATCTTCGTCGTGTAAGCCACAAAATTCAAATCCGGAGAACTCAGTGTTAACCCCATAAATTTTGTGGAAAGTTCCTTTAGATGATGGTGTCTAAGACTGAACAGTGATTGGACTGTCTTTTCTTTATTAAGCAAAGTTCATTGTCAACACACCACTCATTTGCTGCCATCACCAACCCGCTCGACGAGGACAAACTCATACTCATCACCACTCACCAGCAGCGTTGCGTCATCCACATATAACAAACATTTCACATCTCCGCCCAAATACCTAGGAGCTCCTTGTAATAGGAAGACGCTCAGAGAGGCAATCTCCGCATTTAACTTGTTGGGATCTATCCGAAAGGTGCAAATCGGAAGACATGTTCAAGTTTGTACAATAGTAAATCATGAGATACACAAATTTCCGCTTTTCGTAAGCATCATAACAAAATTTTCATGAAATTCACAACAGCATCCTTAGTACTCCGACCAGAGCGGAAACTAAATTGGTTTTCATGAAGCTTATTGATTGACTCAAAATGTGTCATTATTTGCCTGTTCAATAAAAATATACAACAATTTAGCGCATAGTAACAATTAAAAGTAGAACTACCGTCCTTGATTTATACATCGTATAGACAACTCGTATAGACAACCCGACTTTATCTATGAGCATTGAATAGAGCAACTTGAGGACATAATAATATAACCCAAGTTGGACAATATTGGTATGACTTAAAAATATTTTGTCCGTTATATCGAGGTTTTATTATACAGGGTGATTCAAAAAACCATTTATCTATCAATTGGTCTCTTACAAAACTTTGACTAAAGCAACAGTTTTTGATTGGATTTACAAATTTTCTACAAACGTGTTTTTCTTAAAAACTATTGCTTGGATCAGTGTTTTGTAAGAGACCAATTGATAGATAATTGATCTCTTTACACGACAATACTTCCCGTTTGACAAAATTAGCAATGGCGTAGACAATATTTTTAAAAAAGAGCTTTTTATTGCGGATAATGTTTTATTTTAAAGAAACTTTGACCCGCTATATCTCGTTAAGGAAGCATTTGCGACTCCATGTATATTAAGACTACTCATCTTAATTTTTCATGTATTATCTACCCTAGAAGTCTGTCAGAGGTTTTTTTGAATCTCCCTGTATATAATTATCACGTAAAAATCTGTTTGCAGAATCCTGATAAGATTCAAAGAAGTATTCAAACTTATTTTCTCTCCTCAACATTAAGTGGAATAATCTCTAGTATTAGTTCTAGTTTTTGTTCAATAAGAATATACATCCTAGCGTTATCTAGCACTACTTAATGTTATCTAGCACTATTACTAGGACCGTATCTAGGACTAATGTTGGTTCTAGTTTTCACGCTAAGATGTTGTATATTTTTATTGAAGTAAAACTATAAGTAACATTAGACCTACAACTAGAAACATTTGGGTTCAGCCGTCTTAACAGACGTATAGCTTAATCCAAATGTTTCTAGGTCTAGTGTTAGTTCTACCCTCCGTTCAATAAAAATATACAACAATTTAGCGTTGAATAAGAGAACTAGAACTAACACTAGACCTAGAATTAGAAACATTCGCAAACTTTTTAGTTCTAGGTCTAGTGTTAGTTCTAGTTTTAGTTCAATAAAGGTATACAACATCCTAGCGTTATCTAGCGCTATTTAATGTTATCTAACACTGTTACAAGAACTAACCCTAGAACTAGAAACATTCGGGTTTTAGCCTTTCGTTTCTTAAGACGGCTAAACCAGAATGTTTCTATTTTTAGGTCTAGTGTTAGTTCTACCCTTAGTTCAATAAAAATATACAAGAATCTAGCGTATAGTAACAATTAGAACTATCGTCCTTGATTTATACATCGTATAGACAACTTGGGGAATACCCCGACTTTATCTATGAGCATTGAATAGAGCAACTTGAGGACAGAATAATATAACCCAAGTTGGACAATATTAGTATGACTTAAAAATATTTTGTCCGTTATATCGAGTATTTATTGNTCGTTCACTCGACGTTTCAAAATTTTAAATAAAACAATAATAATAGTAAGAAAACCACTGACAGTTAAACGTCAAAAATATTTATGACAAGGATTGCAAAGCCTACTAAGATTTTTTCATCAAAAATTCATTCCAACTTTCGATTAAGAACCCTACAGCTTAACAGTTAGTGTTCGCTTAATTATTTTTTTCCTCAGAAATTATTAAGTTTTAGAAGAACATCAGAGAGACAAAAAAGTTTTAGAATAGTTTTATCTATCTAACTGAAATTTTTTCAATGTATTTATCATTTTCATTAAAAAAATCTAGGCATAAATTGAACGTGGGTGGTTACGTTTACTAGTTTAGAAGGGTAGGTTGAAAGTACAAATAGGGTCAAAACGTGCCCTATTATGAGTTAAACATATTCCCCAAATTTCATTTTCCTAGCGTTTATGGTTTTTGAGAAAAAAAAAATAAACCAAAATTTTCCGCCATTTTTGGAGGGGTGTAGCTCCTTAGGGGAGCCGGAGTTTGTTGCATTCTTCAAGGAGAATCACCCCTTGAAGTTTATTGCAGTTATTCAGATACACCCTGTATATCGTATTGGGATATTGGGATTGTAACAATGAGGTTGCTAAAAACAAACTTGATATAAATAAAGTTGTATTAAATGAAAAAGGTCCTATTGGGGTTGAACTTGATTATTATCTGCAATGTCCAACACCTAAACGAGATACTAATTCCTGTGAATGGTGGAGTATTAAGTAATAGATTGTTAAAAAAATGGCCGGATATCCGTTCCACCATTACCTGAAACTATAACTGTAAGCAAATATACTTTCGAGAATGTTCAAACATTCAAGTATTTAGGTGTAATCTATACTAGAATACAAAACAGAATAATAATAATAATAGTAAACTTTATTGGGAAAGTAAAGAGACAAAAAATGCACATCTCATTACTACTCACTACTCACCCAGCGTCAAAAAAGAAAACGAAATTCAATGGCTATTATAAAATTCGTCGAGCGAATAAGGTGCTAAATTACAAAGTAAATATCGCATATTTGACTTAAATAAGTTTAACCTAGTTATTAATTTCACTTCTACAGGGATGTTATTCCAGATTTTCACACATGAATACAAGGGACCTTTTTCATATAAATTTAACCTATGTTTAGGCAGTATGAAGATATGATTATGTCTAGTAACATATCGATTTGTCTTAACAAATTGTTGAAAGTAGTTTTTATGTTTCAAAACAAATATTGAGCATTCGAGGATGTAAATCGCCGGTAAAGTTAAGATTCATTATATTTAAGATTACATAATACTCATATCGCTTTTTTTTTTAGTTTAAAGACATTACCGAACTGTATAGATGCTCCTCACGTAATTATTAAATATCTTAAATGTGATTCGATGTTACTAGAATAAAAAAATCTTGGCAATCTTTTTGTTAGTTGTATTTTTAATCACTCTAAGACCAAATGTAGATTTTGATAGCTTATAACAGAGTTGTTCCAACTGACACTTAAACTTAAGCACATGGAAGAGTAGCTACTAGACTCTTCTATGTGCTTGTTTTTAAGGTGTTTTAAAAGTTGGTTGTATTCTCTCTGTTTCCGTTGATAATCTGGTTTAAATTTTTTGTCAATTTGGGAAAGCTCTTGTAGCATACATAAGGAATCTCTACAAGCCTTGAATTCACTACATTCCATATTTCTACTTCTTTTTCTGGTAGAGTTTCGGGTTGCTTTTTTTAGGAAAATGCTGATTGAAATAATTCAGATAAATATTTGCAAAATGTTTATACTGATCATGCTAATGATCTTGTTTCCGGGCTGCAAACAGATGTATATGCACACATGAGGATGTTCAAATCAAAGCACAAAGCTAGAGGGGCCAAGCTGAGGATGTATAAGACTTTGATCCTGAAATCTGACGGAAGCGAACAAAAGCGCACTTCGGGTTTTTGAAAGAATATTAGGACCAGTGATAGAAGATGGAATACGAAGAAGAATGAATTTAGACCTCATATGGTTTGTAAAATTACAAAGACTTAGATGAGCTGGACACATTATCAGAATGCCTAAAGAAAGAGCTGCGAGCATAGCTTTTAGAGCAAACATGGCAGCCACAAGAAGCAATAAAAATATAGTGGATGATGATGATGATGGATTGGAAAAGGATTGTAACGACTACAAAACAAAGAACTGAAAAACATGGTCACCTTGGTGCTTTCGCAACTGTGATCTCCACAAGGAGCTTGAAATAGAAACATTTAATCAAAATAATTCCCAAAATCGCAAGACGTTATAAACAACGACTTCTCCAATACGTGAAATTAATTTAAATTTCATATTTATCGTTTTAATCAATTTGGTATGATAAGCGCCATCTCTTTTAGGGTTAATAAACGAACAATTTCGATTTAAAATACTAAACAATAAAAAAAGGTTAAAAAGGGTACCTGCATTTATTTATTTGGGATTCCCTCCTTTCCGATGTGAAATAATCCGCGCCATCTATTTTAGGGTTGACGAACTGTGTTTAGGGTGGTGTTATTCAATAAAAGATTTCATTTCGCCTTTGAAGATTTCTATTACTTCCTAATTCTAATTTTACAAATTCTTGTTTTTTTCTAGAAAAAAAAAATAGAACCAAAAATAAAAATTAAAATCGACAATTTTATTCTGTTTTAACTCCGACTTTACATTTATTTTAATAAACGCTCGATTATAATTTGTATTTATTTGAGTTAAATTAAAATAAATTAGATCGGCAAGCACAATTATTTAATTAAATCGTTAAGATATCTACAATCAGTCGGTTTATTTTATTTTATTTAATTTAATTTATTAAGTACATCGGATAAATTAACCACCTTTATTAAGGTAGTAATTAAACTATGTACATATTGCACTGGATAAAATTAGAATAAAATGAAGCTTACGCGACTAGAATTTTCGCTAAAATTATTCCACACCATTTTTTACCCTCAACATTTTCTTTTTGATCATTTCAGTCTTTCCCTTTAACATCCTGAGTTAAATTTTTTTGATTCTCAACATTTAAAAACGCCTAACTAAATAAATTTGAATCTTGATACGACTTCTCCACGTCATCATCATCATCAGCGAATTTAATTTCATCCAAACTCGGCGATTTCTCCACTTTCGTCTCTTTTTCTTTATGAACTTTTACAGGGGATCCCAATTTAATCTTAGTAAATTCATGCAATTGAATTGCAACAACTTTCGCGTCCGTTTTCGTAATGGGAGCTCGATCGAAACAAATACTATCGTTAGAAATCGATTTTATATCAACCAAAGGATAAATCCTTTTCGGTAATTTATTTAAAACCGGCGAATTTAATTTGTTCCCTTCACTAATACTAAACGAGCGAATTTTTGGGATTATTTCGTTTTCATCTTCGGGTGTTTCAGTGTTACTTCCTGGATCGACGAATTCTTTGGGTTTTAAATCGCCGGGAAGAATCTCTCCCGTTTCATCTAATGGAGGAATCCAAACTAAAAATGCTGGATCCATTCCTAAATAAGAACCTGGAGCTGCGCCCGCATTTACGACGTTGTAATCGTAATAATCGAGCTCTAAATCGTTTACAGCCAAAGAAAATTCAGAACCAGTGGGGCCGGCTAAAAGTTTTTGGCGATTCTTTTTTTCTTTATTTTCTTTTATGTTTGTCGTACGAATTGTTGCTGTACTTATTTGACTGGCTGGTGAGTAATAACCCTAAAAGAATGATATAAAATTAATTTTTTTGTTGTGAGTTAAAAAAGAAAGAAAATGGGAATAAAAAAAGTGTTCCAAAAGTGCTTCTTTATGGTGCTCAAAATAAATAGTTAAAAATTTTTTAATTTTATACCGGATCACTTCTGGAACGTCTACTATTAGCGGTTATCCTCACTTTCGTTAAAGTGGCAGTGCTAATCCTGGTTTCTTCTTTCTCGCCAATCATCGAAACTTCGTCTTCGTCTTTTCCCGAATCACCGCTTAAACATGATTTTCTCAAATCCGTTGTGGTTTCTGTTGATGATGAGCACGGTAAAGTCACTATTTCGCTACTACTAGGAGCAGCTACAATCGCTGTTGTTACCGTTTCGCCTTGGGTTAAGGTTTGGGAACTATCACTCAAACTATCTTCTTCTTTCCTAAAAAAAATTTTTATTAAACTATAATTTAATAGGAGATATAGAGAGGAGTTTGGAGAGGACCCTGCGACATTAAGGGTAATACAATGCAACTTGCACCGTGGCAGGGCTGCAACTGCAGTATTGTGCAGGCACCTTGACATGATGCTCTGATTCAAGAGCCATAGACTATCAACTCGAACGTTTCTGGTTTCGGTTCTCTTAGCGGTTCTGTTTTCTTTTTCAGTACTCAGAATCTACCGAGAGCTGCAATCTACGTTCCTAGACATATCTCCGCGTATTTCCTGCCGGAAGAGTCAAATCGGGACTTCGATGTAGTCAAGATTCAATGCTTCCTAGCGAAGAAGACTCTAGCATCTGTCTACCTGCCTATAGAAGAGATGGCTCCTACTGCCGCCTTGACAACATTAGTCAACGCTAGCAAGGTAAATAAATGGCTACTCATTGTAGGCTGCGACTAAAACGCTCATTCTGTTGCCTGGGGATGTGATGAAGGAAACTTTAGAGGTAAGACCTTACTTGAATTTGTTACGAGTAATGATTTGGAAATAATCAACCAAGGCTGTGAACCCACGTTCGTCAATCTTATTATCTATCTCAAAAGATTAGCAACTGGTGTGACCATAGATGGATCACTTTTGATTCTTGAAAAAAAGGGTCCGGGATCCAAAGCGGACTGACTTGAGCATTTTTGCAAGCTGTCTAAATGAGCAAATGCGAGATTTTCCCGAAACCCTTCTTGGAAATACCGAAAAATTAGAGAATTACTCAAACCTCGTGGGTGACACACTAAGGCTAAACACATACTGACGCGACGAGCAAAGCGGCGAGCAGAGCGGTGAGGAAAGCGGCGAAAACAAACTATACATATCCAAATGAGTAGAACATAGTGGTGCGGCGCGGCGCCAAGTAGCAGTGTGGTCATAAGAGAGGATAGCGGCGCGTTCANATTGGAAAGAGGACACTTTTATTAACATTTTGGGAAATTTTCATATTCATATTCCAAGAAATCGATTTTATACGAATTTTTAAAACTTAATCGGCGAAAATTGCAAAATTCGAAGAAATTGTTGATTATTTCAAAAATTTTTTCCTCAAGAACTAAAAGTGATTTTTCAAAACGGCTTTTTCATTAAAAAGAGGATACTTTAACTAATAATTGGTCATATTTTCCACAAGGATCCTCCAAGAAATTAATATTATAGCGAATTTTGAAAATTATCGATGAAAATTGGAACATCGAAAATTTTATCAGTTTAAAGTTAATGTTAAAAATTTTCTGAATGTAATTAACACTTACTTGTTTTTTGAAACTAACAATTGTAGAATAACCTAAACCATTATCAAAGTTAAAGGATCAAAAACTGAGCGAAACCATTAAGAAACCAACGTGCGTACAAGATGTCTGACAGGTAAAACCTCTTTAACACAGAGTAAGGCAGAGAGTTAGCTCACCGGGAAAATGATAGGCCATTCTCTATCTCTTATTATCACCTTATTATTATTATCATAATACCGATATTTTCTCTTTGTCATCTTGATAGAAATCCTTAGTAGATGGCGTACATGTCGTTAGTAATATTGCAGAAAGCTGTTGACTTTGTTTAAGCGGTTTTGACATTTTATGTATGTCACATGTCACACAGTCCTTTTGCGTTTATTGTCTTATTTGTGCTTATTATCTATTTTTGCGTTGTATTTTTTACGAATAATTTTCGAGAATAATTATTGTAAAAATGTTTTGCATTGTGTGTGGATGTAGCGAAGATGAAGTTGGAAAATTATTTTGTTTTCCCAAGAATAAGGACAGGTTAGTATTTGAATTATATTAATTTTTAATTTCAATAGTATTCAAATTAAGTATTCAAATTTTTGATAACACCGTGTCACTTAGGGTAAGAAGCAGTTGGCGTTTGATAACCAACATTTATTAAATTTGTTATAATGCTTTTTTGTTATATGTACTTTATCAATTGAAAACCACAGACAAAAACGGCCAACCGAACCCAACCTGTGAGGGTCATCCCGGAGAAGACGAGAACAGGGGTTTTTAGTGTAATTATATTGTAATTTAAATATAAAATTTTAAATCGCCAATGGATTTCTCTTTATTTTGCATTGAAATTATAAAATTATAACTTTTTGATTTGAGGTGCTTTTTATTGGTCTATTAAGCTGTAATTATTTTGGCTTACGCAAGCTAAATATAGCTTAATAGATCAACAAAAAGCACATAAGATCAAAAATATTTCTGTATTCAAATTTTAAATTAAATAAAAGATTTGAATTTGGCGCCAATTGCATTTTTGCTTCTCACTGCCATCTACATAAGTGTTACATGATGAGTGAGAGAGACCGGTATATATTGGATCTCGCTTTCACAATGGAGTTGGCCGTCTGGTAGTAGTCTGTGCTCTTTAATATAAAAATAACATGTGTTGTTTAAGAATTGAAAAAACTTTTTTAAGCATTGATACCAACCAAAAATTGTGAGCAATGACCGAACTGCGCAAGCGGTGAAGCCGCCTAAATTTAAACTTAAGATTTAAAATTATATAAAATTGAATCGATTAATTAAAATTAAGACAAGAACAGATTGACAAACAGTTTAAAATCATAAATCAGTGGCTAAAACGTAAGTGACCGGGTGACATCAGCATTAATTTTCTTATTTTTCTTACGAACTTTGTCGTTAACGAACAGTAACTAATGTTTTGAGTATCAGTTTTAAAATTAATAGAATCATCCGTATAATTAATATGTACAATTTCTAAAAAGAGTCTATTGAAATAATTAGGTTCAGTATCTAGTATTTTAACATCATCAAAATCAAAACGATGACCCGTGTCTGTAGCATGTTGGGATAAAGCACAAGTAAACTTTCTTAAATTGCACTCACTTTTATGTTTAGAGACCCTACGTTTTAGCCAATGATCTGTCTGATCAACGTATTTGCCATTACATGCACCACAAGGATGCAGTAAATAACACCAGATTTTAATTGGTGTTCTGTCTTGTCTTTAACATTCGTGAAAAACTTTTGTAATTTGTTATCGTAAAAGTCAACAATCTCCATATCCTTAAGGGAATTCAGTACCCGTTTTATTACTTCACTTAAATTAGTGACAAAAGAGACTTTTTTATAATTAACTAGTGTGTTTTGTTCATTCATCTTGCTGTTGTTCTTGTCTTTCTCGACCTCTATGGTAAATTGAATGCTCGGATGAAAGTTGTTAAATGATTCTAAAATTATGTCGATATCGTCCCTGTGTACACCCAAAATTAAGTCATTAACATATTTCTTAATGAAATCAATTCTAAAAGTTGTGTTATTTAATTTTAAAACTTCATCAATTACAAAATCCATAACCAGTATGGCTAAGACCGGTGAAATTTTTGAGCCCATCGGGGTACCTTCAACTTGGTGATATACTACGTTATTATAAGTGAAAATGGAGGTATCAAAAATCAATTTTAAACCCGACAAAAATGTGTTTTCATTCCAACTACAATGTTGCACAATCAACTCCCATTTATCCTTGACTATCTTATTGACCAAATCCACCGGAATAACCGTAAAAAGGCTCACGACATCAAGTGACATCAAAATGTGATCCTGCGGAAGNATGTGAATGCAACTCTTTTATTACCGCGATTCTCGGTCGCCGCTTTCTTCACCGCTCTCCTCGCCGCTTTGCTCGTCGCTCCAGTATGTGTTTAGCCTAACTCAGGCCTTCCACAGTGCATGTCCTGAGAGAATTGTGGAGGAGAGAGGAAGGGCTTGCAGAAAAGCTTTCAATAAAGCAAAACAAACTAGACTGAATTCTGACTGGACCTTGTTCAAAACACACCAGTCAGAGTTCAAACGTTTAGTACGACAAAAGAAACGACAAGCCTGAAGAGGTTTTTGTGAAGAGGTGGAGAGGCCTCACGCCTAAACAACATACTATCTCGTGGCCAAAAATACAGTTGTGGTATTCTAAAAAAGTCTGATGGCAGTTTTGCCAAGGATCCAGAAGAATTATTACATTTACTAATAGACATTCATTTTCCAGGTTCTTTGCAAGATTTTTCAACGTTTCTACACCAAGTGGAATTTAACAACTCTCCTAGCCCAGAGGATATGAAAATACACTTGATGAGAATTTTTAAAGCCTACTTACAAGGGAAGTGTCACAACTGTGTCTCACCGATTTCGATGCAATTTGGTACAGTCATAGAATGGGCCAAAATAAGGTTCGTACATTTTTTTATACGTGCGGTAAAAGCCCCTGGGGCGAGTTATAGGGGTTGAAAGTTTGGAGANTTGATAGCACTTTTCGTTTTCAAAATATAAGTGAAAACGTACTTTTTCTCCAAACTTTCAACCCCTATAACTCGCCCCAGGGGCTTTTACCGCACGTATAAAAAAATGTGCGAACCTTATTTTGGCCCATTCTATGACTGTACCAAATTGCATCGAAATCGGTGAGACACAGTTGTGACACTTCCCTTGTTAGCCTTTAATTACGTTCCCATCAGCTGGAGGAGGAAGGTTACAGCAACCTTTATAGCAAAGAATGGAAGCAAGAACCCAGCGGATTCTAAAGCCTTTCGACTAATTAATCTCTCATCATTTCTTTCAAAGACGCTTGAAAGACTATGTGAACATTACATTAAAGTGTTTCCTTTGCACTTGCACCAACATGCTTATATCAAAGGTTACTTAAAACCACCTTTAGTAGCATTAATTTGGAACTGGAATCTCGAAGAGTGCGAAGAGTTCAGGCTAAGGTACACAGTACAGAGAGCTGTGGTTAAAGGTTGCCCACAAGGTGGGGTACTCTCACCGCTTCTCTGGTGCTTAACAGTTGATGATCTCATTTGTGAGTTAAATAATAAATATCTCTTTACAGTTGGTTACGCCGACGACGGTGTTAAGAGGTGAACCTGACAATTTTCTTTGTTACAGAATGCAGCAGGCGCTTAAACTTGTTGAACGATGGTGTGAAGAACTTATCCTCTCTGTCAATCCTAAAAAGACTGAGACTGTTCTTCTCACTAAATAGAAGAAACTGGGACACTTAACGCCTCCCAATTTCTGTAATAATCCATTAACCTTTGCTCCAAAGGTGAAAAATCTAGGAGTTATCTTGGACAAAGGACTAACTTGGACATCACACATTAGTTGCAAAACGAAAAAAGTAACGGTTGCACTGACCTTCTAATTTTTCTAAATCCGAAAGTTACAATGTGGTCTTATCAAAGAAGTGTAGATCTTCTTTGATAAGACCACAACACTAAAACATGCATATAAAGCTAAATTGCTGCATCGATTGCAACGACTGGCCTGCCTGCTAATCATAGACTCTATGAAATCTACACTTACGATTGCGATAAAGACTATGCTGAACGTGCTACCCGTAGATATTTTTATCAGGGCTTCGACTGCGACTAGTAAATGAAAAGCAGGTTGTTAAAATTTGAATAGTCCCGAGCAAGCTCTGGAGTGAGGCTGTTAGTAAATAACCCCTCCTTAAAGCTCGCACATTTATTAGTCAAACTACATTTTGGCATTGAAACGATACTCCAGAGCAACTCAAGCTCAGGCAAAACGCTGACCATCTACACTGATGGATCAAAGAAGGCTGGAGGTTTCGAAGCGGGAATTTTCTCGCACGATCTACAGCTACACCTTTTCACTTCGTTAGGATCGTATTGCACGACTGCTCAAGCCGAATTAACTGCTAACATAGCAGATGATGCGATCATCGACTTCAAAAAAGTCGGCAGACACGTTGTAATCTGCACTGATAGCAGACAGGCTATGCTAGCGGTTGGTAGACACCAAACTAGTTACATCATCGTTGGTGAAGTCCTCGAGGAGGCAAACGTATACAACAACGTCACGATAAAGTGACAAAAAGGACACATCGGAATTAAAGGACATGATCATGCGGACAGACTGGCGAAACGGGCGGCTAACAAGTCACCGATTTCCCATGAACCGTTTGTACCAGTAGCTTTTTGCGACAGATGGGATGGAACAGCAGCAGGTGTCGTTGCTAAGAAAACTCTGCTCTATCCTGACCGGAAGAGATCTATTCAGTTTCTGGGAAAATCAAAAAGTGACTTGGAGCTTCTCACCCACTTCCTGACCGGACACTGCAGGTTACGTAAGCACGTGTTTTACATGAAGCTGGCGAATACACCCCTCTGTAGAGAGTGTGAAATGGAAGACGAGACGGTAAAGTCTACTTAAGGAATCCATTTTCGGAGTACCATGGCTCCAAATTTCGGATATAAGGAACATACCTTTCTGTTCTATATTAACGTTAATGAAAAGATTGGGCTTTCTGACCCTTGAATGAACAGTAATTGTGGGGACGTACAAAGGGCCCGCTGAAATTCTAGTTTAAAAAGTGAATATTTATCTTTTATGAAAGAGTATCACGATTTGGGTCACATGATAAAACTACCACACGATTAATCATTTTGTACTCCTCACTTCTTTTTACCTCATCATGGGGTGATCAAAGAAACAAGCACAACAACAAAACTACGAGTGGTTTTCAATGGATCCCAAAAAACATCATTGGGAGAATCTCTTAGCGACAATTTATATATAGGCCCAAAGCTCCAGAACGATCTTTCAGATATTTTGATGCGTTGGAGATGGTATCAATTTGTATTCAATGTAGACATAGAGAAAATGTACCGTCAAATCATTGTCCATCCAAATGATTGTAAATTTCAGCAAATTTTGTGGAGAGATTGTGAAAATCAACCATTATCAATATACGAGTTAGCTATAATAACATATGGCTTAGCTTGTGCTCCTTACTTGGCGATCAGGTGTCTCAATGAATTGTCAATTGATTGCATCCATGACTCACCTCTAGCAAGCAATATAATTTCTAATGATATGTACGTTGATGATATTATATCAGGAGCTGATGACTCAGAAACAGTAAAAGCTCAAATTCTCTAAATTGACAATGTTCTGAAATCAGCTGGTTTTGTAGCAAGAAAATGGATGTCCAATAATAATGTAGTGTTAAACCAATTGTCAAAAGATCAACTTAATAAAGATGCTACTCTGATGCTCGATAATACGTCATCTACGTTAGGAGTTATTACAAAACGCACTGTACTATTGTGATTGTCGCAAACATATTCGTTCAAGAATTGTGTCAGTTTGATTGAGATTGTGCGTTACCTCAAGATCTTTCTTCTCAGTGGCTGAATTTTCTTAATGAATTAAAATATATTTCTGAGATATCAATTCCTAGATGGTATGGAACATTTTGTGCGTGGTATCAATCCATCTAAGCTGGTTAATGAGAGGTTATGGTGCTTTTCTGCGATTATCTGGGCGTTTGAAATTTGCGAATTTGCATCCTCTTATCTTACCGAAGGCACCATTTTTGACTACGTTGATCATTGATTATCATCATAAGAAAAATCTACATGCTGGAACTCAATCAATTTTGGCCTCTACTCGTCGTTAATTTTGGATCGTTGGTGGAAAGATCCCAGTTCGTGCGTATATTCATCGATGTCTTCCTTGCGCTCGAGAGAGAGTTTCAACAAGTCAAGAAATTATGGGTCAACTGCTATCAACACGAATGACTCCAGGACGACCATTTCTCAACTCAAGAGTTGATTATGCTGGGCCTTTTTTCTTGCGTACTTTTCGTGGACGTGGTTCAAAGACATACAAGGGTTATCTGGCAGTATTCGTTTGTATGGCCACCTCTGCTGTCCATCTGGAAGCGGTTACTGATTATACTGCATCAGGATTTATAGTAGCTTTTAAACGATTCACTGGCCGCAGAGATTCACTTGTCCAGTGATTGTGGCACAAATTTCATGTGTGCTGATAAAGAACTTCATAATTTGCTGTCAGTTGCTTCGTCAGAATGGTAGGATAGCTATTTCCTTCCATTGTCATCATCTATCGAATGATGGAACACTGTGAAATTTTAATCCCCCATCAGCCCCGCATTTTGGTGGAAAATGGGAAGCACCTGTGAAAGCTACGAAACTTCATCTTAAGAGGATCATCGGAAATACTCCGCTAACTTATGAAGAATTCGATACATTGTTGGTCAAAATAGAAGTTATTAAACACCCGACCCCTTTGTCCTTTATCCGATGATCCCAATGATATTCAGTCACTAACACCCTCTCATTTTTTGATAGGTGGAACTCTCGCATCAGTTCCGGAAATGTTAGAACTAAAAGTGATTTTTCAAAACGATTTTTTACATTAAAAAGAGGATACTTTAATTAATAATTGGTGATATTTCCACAAGGATCCTTCAAGAAATTAATTTTATAGCGAATTTTGAAAATTATCGATGAAAATTGCAACATCGAAAATTTTATCAAAACTTCAAATATTGTTTTATCAAAAACTAAAAGTTTTTTTTGAAAACGGATTGGTTCATTGGAAAGAGGACACTTTTATTAACATTTTGGGAAATTTTCATATTCATATTCCAAAAAATCGATTTTATACGAATTATTAAAATTTAATCGGCGAAAATTAGAAAAAATTCGCGATCATTTCAAAAATTTTTTTCTCAAGAACTAAAAGTGATTTTCCAAAACCGCTTATTGCATTAAAAAAGGGCCACTTTAATTAATAATTGGTGATATTTCCACAAGGATCTTTCAAGAAATTAATGTTATAGCGAATTTTAATACTTACGCTAACGTTGCTTCTCTTTCTTCGGGTTCATGTTCGACAGATTCCCTTAACCGACTATGTTTATTCCTAGATCTAACACTAGGTCTTAATCGAGTCAAAGAAATAACTTCCGTCAACAACGTAGAATTCGATATCGCTCGATTTTTCACCGTTAAAGCAGCACAAGAACCCGTCGAATCCGTCAAAGAATCCTGATCTTCAGCTTTAGCAATATGATATTTTCGATATTTAAAAATGTATTGAGCTCCTAAAAGAAGCGTTGCAATCAAAAGGCCGCCCAAGAAGAAAATTATCGCGATGTGAATTGCAGTTAATTTAGCTGATAAAGTGAGGACGCCCATTTCTTGGGCGATTGGTAAAGAGTGGTTTCGTAGAGGTTTTAATTTTTGGGCAGCTTGCGCGACGAATCCTCCACCACAACTTTGCGTGCTGTAATCTTCGTTTCCAAAGAATTCTAATAGGAGGTTTGGACCGGTCGAGTTTACAACGCTGGGTGTCGGATTTGGGTACCCTCTTAAATCTTCTAAGAGATTGTCGGATAAAGAGGAACCATCTCGTATTTTTAACCATTGCGTTTCGCATGGAAGAAAAATGTGCTCCACTTTGAATTCAATCACGTAATCTTCTTCAGCCTTAATTAATTTTGGATTAAATTAAATTAAAATCATAAAAGAAATTAAAGAATACCTCTACCTTTTAAAAATCGATGATTTTTTTTTTTAATTGGTAGGAAATGACTCAAAAGATGACTCAAATGATAAAAAAAAGTGCGCAAAAGTGCAGTACTTACCGAAAAATCACTTTAAAGTTGCGATTTGACGTTTCTTTTTCGAAGTTCAAAGCAATGTTAAATATGCATTTTCATATTAAATCCTAACCTAAAATTGTTTAATTTATACCCACGCACAAAATAAAAACTCACTAAACTTATTGAGATTACAACATATTTTCGAATAAAAACCTTATTTCTTAGGCTATCAATACATAACGACAATTACGATAGAAAATAGCTTCGTAGAAATGCAACTCTCTAAACAAAAACTTCGTACTAAAAATTGAACGCATGTGGCGCCATCTGTTAGGGATACTTTAGAATTATTCAGCTAAGAACCGAACCACTAGAATACAGGTTAGATTGGGTTTATATATAAAAGCTCCAAGCACAGAATAACTGTTTGGAAAGTGTTACTTAACATTCCGACTGGTTGGAAATTCCTCAGATGCAATTACCTATGGAAATTATATTTGTTAAATAATGCCACCACATTTGAATATTATTGCATCATATGACATGTGAGATTGCATCTGACGAGCTTCCAACCAGTTATAACGAACGTTAGCTGAAACAAAGCTATAATGTCAATTATGGTTTAATGGTTTAATGATACCATTATTATTTTATTATACTCTTACCGAAAAATCACTTTAAAATGACGTTTTCATCTGTCATTCTGAACAACTTCAACTTTTAAAAGGTGAAGTTAGCGGCAAATTTAAAAATATAACACGATTTGGAATCTATACTTTTTAAATTAAAAGAATGATACTGGTAATACTTGTTATTGCTGTCTCTCATCATTCCTACTATTAATAATACAATTGTTAGTTTAATTAAATTATTTCAGTATAGACGCTAATGCCATCTTACGGGGGGATTTCGTCATACAATCAGTCCCAAGTTCTGTCGTTAGATAAAATTGTTTCTACCAAATGTGTGGTAATAGACTTTATGTTAATAGATTGTGTATCAATTGATATGTCAAACGACTGAAATATCTTTATATTGTAAATATAAATGATAAATAAGTATAATAGCTTATTTAATAGTACCTTACTTAAGTTAAAATAGTTAATTAATTAAAAATTAATATTAAACAAGACGTGTACATGGTTACAAAAT